TTTCTATGCTGTTCCCTCTGCCTAGTGCATCTGTCGTAGTTTTTCATTTGCTAACTCATGCTTTCCTTGAGGATTTGGCTCCTGTAACATCTCCTCCAGGACGCCCTCCCTGCCCTCCCCTGCCCTCCCCTGCCTTGTGTTGTTTCAATTGCTGTCCTGCTCCCACTCTGCTAGGAGGGCCTGTCTCTGCAACTAGTGGGAGGGCAGGACCAGGTCACCTCCTCCACTGTTACATGTCAGGGCAGGGCATGTGGTGGGGACTCAGTTTTATCCCTATTTCCGTTTTAATACAGTGCAGACCTTTTCTTAGCACCCTCTGCTCTCCTTACCTCTCTTGGGAATAAACACTTATTAACTATCCAACAGCAGCTTTAAACCCAGTATTGCAATTTTAGGAAGAGGCCAATCTTGCCAGATCCTGGAAGCCTTAATACCCAGAATGCAAACCCTTTCCTGGAGGAAGATGCTTCCCGCCCCTCCCTTTTGAGATCATCTGAGAGCTTCAAAGGGCTACATCTGTTGACACTGAAAGTCCATGGTGCTACTGAGGCTCCAATTGTACTTCTTCTGGACATGAGAATCACCTGGAGACCAGGCTAACCACTAGACCAGCTCAGTCTGCCTGTGAGTTGGAGCCCAAGTGGCAGGGCATTCAGGGGCACCATGTGATTGCAATGTTTAATCAGTGATAAGAACCATTGACTTTATTTGGGTCAGAACCAACCTCTGAGAAAGGGCCAAAAGCCCTGGAACACCTGCTGCCTGCTGAGGGCATTTAAGGCTGCCTGCGGGCCTGGGTGCGGCTCCCAGCCAGGTGAGTGCTGAGTGGGTGGTGAGGCGGCTGTGGTCTTGTCCTCCCCAAAGCTGGTGGGCTCCCTGGAGGTGACTCCAGAGGCCTGGGCTGGGTCTCTCTTTGTTGAACTCAGCCTTGGTTTGTGCAGAATCCGTGCTACGCAGCGCTTGGCTGGTTCCCGTGTGGGTAAGGAGAAGTGGCAGCTTTGGGGTGTTTGCAGAGCAGAGACATGGACCTGCAATGTGTAGGGAGCTGTGTCGAGGCACAGAGCTGCCTGTAGACCTGTCTGCTCATGTTCCAGCACCTGAATGTTTTCGTCTGTGGGAATCGTCTGTCTGATCCTGTCCCTTCACCAGAGCCTTCCCAAGCCTGAGGTTGGGGTGGGAGGCTCACCAGGAATGGGGCCTGGCAGGAAGTTTCCTGCCGCCTTCCTCGCTGTAACATCTGCCTCCCCTCAGGGCCAGCACATGCCCTGGGGGACACCTGGCTGTGTGTCTCCCTGCATCAAACTGGTGTTGGGCATGTCTTGACCATGTTGGTGAACGCCAGGCACGGGGTGGTGTGAGGTTTCACAGGTTACCTAGGAGGAAGCGTGAGGTTACAGGAGTTAATGCTCAATCCACTTCTGAAGTGATTCCATTCCTACAGCCATATGTGTTCAATGAAAATCAGAAAAATGCTATTTTAGATGTCAACTCTTGAATGATGAGATATTCCTTACTTTAAAACAGTTCTCAGTTCTTGAAAGATGTTCACTGTCAACATTTGGCTAGATCTAGGAAAGTCTAGACAAAGCAAAAATGGAGAAAATGACTCAGCCATTAACAGGACCTGCAAGCCCCCAGATTTCTCTTTCCCCAAACGGATGGAAGGACAAGAGCAGCTCCGGAGCCCGGATGACTGTGAGCACCGCCGGGGGCCTTGGTGGGGTCTCTGTCACCCAGGGCAGGGCAAGGACAGCGTATGGGAGCAGCGGAGCTGACCTGAGTGTGGGTAAATTCCCTGAGTCGGTGATAGTTGCCTAAATGATGAGTTTGACTTTCTCTGGATCTCAAATTTAGAGAACCGATGAAAAAAGGCACTGACTTTGATTTTGTGCATAAATCAAAGTCTGCAGCTCGGCACTTTCATAGCACTGGTAAAGGATGACAGCGTAGCTGGCCCTCCTAGATGCTACAAATAGCAACGTGAGGGGAAGGAAGCACATTTTGAGCTGTGACTAGAGAAACTTGTGAATCCAAAGGATTTGCTTTGCAGCTGGTTTTACAGACTGTCCCCAAATTGAGTGGTTTGGCCAAATCTGTGACTTTCAAACTACTCCTTCAAGATGTTTCAGGGAGAGGGAAGGAAGGAGCCATTCCATCCGAAGTTGTGTTTTCTCTTCTTACGCCACTGCAGGCTGGCCTTCTACTTGGTACCTGATTTGAAGGAAGGTGGTGACTATCTGAACTCCTGGACCCACTTCCAAATTTCCTTATGGCCAGCTTCTAGGATGTGGCAGAAGGATGAGTGTTTCCTACGGCATTAGTCCTAGAATTGAGCAGTGAAAGCATGGCCTCCCTTTGTACCAAAGCAGTTTTTCATTTATGCACACTCAGTCCCATTCACTGAGCTGTTTGGGCCACTTTGGTGGGTGAGACATGGCATGAGATGGCCAAACTCAGCATTGTCTTGGGCCTCTTGTTTCCATTGCCTAAAACAGGGGCCTTTCTGTACTCCAGCATCTCACCCTGAGTGTTAAATGCCATTCGAGGAGGTGACTTCATGCTTCCCTAATCAGACCCTGTTATAGTTTGTTGGCTGGAGAGCTTATTGAGGCAAATCATGGCTATAGGAGTCAGATGGAGGCTAAAGTCCTGGGCCTGATGCTTAAAAGCTGTGGGAACTTTGGGAGATGATATCTGAGATGGTTTTCCCACCAGGAAAATGGGACCGTTGCTACCTTAGTATTAACATTGCCTCATTTAATCTTAAGTGTTCCTGGCAGGTAACAAACATGTTTTGCCATTGTTGCCTGAAATAGGCCCATGAGTCTGGTCTAGCACAGACTTAAAAAATGTTACATCTTAGCTCTTGGGAGATCTAGGGTATAGCTTCTCAATTAAACCCAAACTCTGATCCCAACTCATAATCCTTTTAACTCTGTTTATTACAGCAACTAAAAAAGCCCTTTGAGGTGGTGTTTTAAATGGTGTCATGATTAATAGCAATCATCTGCTTTTTTGGTCATAAAAACTGTTTTCTTCCAGAGGGGGCAGAGTTTGAGATTACTTGAAAAGTAGATGAAAGGCTAGGACATGGCTACTCTCTGGCTTTCTTCTGGTGCTGACTTTGTCTTGCAAGACAGTCTTCTGTCTAGTGTGCTGGCTTCTGATGTGTTGCTGGGGGTGAAGCTACTGCCAGTTGGAATTTTTAATCTAAAGTCTGAGGTTATTTTAAGCCAACTTCTGTGAGCTGCCCTTCCTAATAAATACACTGCAATTAAAACTGTGGGTGTTATTGAAGGACTGGACACCACCCCTTAAATCCCCCAGGGGGGAGGTGGCCAACTTAACTTTGTTAACAGAATGGCTGAGAGCATCTTTAAAGAGCCCTTGAACTGATCAGTCTCTAATTCTTCTGAGTGGGTTGTGCTGGGGGTGGGGTGGTGATTGGTCAATTCCAGGAAGTGGTTTGAATTTCCCATTCTCACATTCCAGAGTTGGCTATTCTCGCCCACATCTCTAAGGACACTGATGTTTAAAGCAGGCAAAGTCCCCAGAATGAAGGCTCTGCTCTGAGGCTCCACTGACTTACTTTCCTGTCTTGCTGTGGCTCCCTGGTGGCACTTTGACTTAGGGGTTTATGCCTAGCCTGGGATTAGTATTAGTTATTGGTAGTGCCGCTGACACTATTATTCTGTTACTCTGTCTCAGATTCTCTTTCTCCTGTGTCTCACATCCCCTTTTTCCTGGTCCCTCGCTAGTTTTCATTTTCTTGGGCCCTAATATGTCACCAAAACTCAATTCTTATTTTGGTCTCACACATAATTCATCTCTCTTCATAAGACAGAGCCTTGGCTCTCAGCTCATTTATGGAATTCTCCAAGTTGTCTACACTGTCCCATCCAAATTGATATGTCTAAATTAGTCTTCACTACCAAAATTATTCCCAGCTGCTGGTTGTCTTTATGCAGTTTTCTCTCTTCCATTATGTCTCTTTTCAGTCATGGCCCATCCTGTATACATGGAAACAGATGATAGTCATTGCACACTTGTAAGAAATGTTTTTCCCTAATATATTCAGACTTGGCCTAATTTGAATAACCTCATTGAGGGCCAACACCCTTTGTGAACTTACCACCCAATGAATACAAGTACGTACTGACTATATTTCCACATGTTGTGAGGGGTTTTGGAATGGTCCTTAAGGCACAGAGGGTCCCATTGTCATTGGGAGTAGGGAGAGGAAGATGACAGATACGAAAATACTGGTAAGAGAAAATACAGCAGACTGACTGGGAAGGTACTAGGATTCTTAAATAGGATAGAGTTGTTGGAGATGCAGTGGGTTTGGACCCACCCATGCAGGAGGGGCAAAACAGGGAGTTGAGTTTTAAAATCACTGGGAAGCCAATAAAGGGTTTTTAAGCAGGGGAAATTACATGATCAGATTCTTTTCTTTGAAAGATCATATACATACTTCTGCATAAGGAACACATTGGCATAAGATGGTGGTCAAAGCAGCGAGAACAGTTGGGAGGTAATTGCTATAGTGTGGTTGAAATATGATGGTAGCTGTGTCGGGAGTGGAGACAGTTTGCCAAGGAATTAGAAGAGTGGGTCCCATTTGAGATCAGCCTGAGCCAATGTGCCAATGGAATGGAGCCATCTTCCTATAGCACCATGGTGGGGCTCCTCCCCATCCTGCATCACTGTCCCTCCAAAATTCCTTGGACACTATTCTGCTCCCAGCACACCCTAGCCATCAAAGGGCCAGTTCTCCAAAACTGCCTCTAAAAATTTCCCTTACTCCTGCAACCCAGGGCTGGAACCCACTTATGGAATGGAACACCTCACTAGGTGCTCATCTCCTGCTCAGCTGGTGTGGGTGTCTGAGTCTGCTCTCTGTTCCACTGAGACCCCTTTAAAGGTTTAAGCTTAGATGGATTTAACATAGTAACAAACACACTGGACGCTAAAAATCTCTGCACCTGTCCTGCCTACAGGTGGTTTGCTTCTTCCAGTCAATATGCCAACTTTCAAGGCTCCAGAAGAAAGGCTGAGAAAATTTAAGTACCATGGCAAAGATACATTTGTGAGTACAAAATGACCGCCTGTCTCTGTCAAGGACCAGGGGGCAGAAAGGCATCAAAAATGGAGTGGAGAGTGGGGGCCAGGGACAATGCAAATAAGGCAAAGAGCTCATCATGGAGAGGTATGTGAGGGTTTGCCAAATAATTCAACTTTTCAGACTGTCTGAAATGTTCATAATAAAATATTGAGGGACTCAATAAAATATTGAGTCCAAGTCCAAGCTCTTGGACTTGGGAATCAGACAGCTGTGGCCTCAAATCAAGAAACTATTACCTTGGGTCTCCCCTGGTGGTGCAGGCGGTTGAGCGCCACACTGTGAAGCTGTCTGCAGCCTCTGCAGCACAGGTTTGATCCCGGCTGGCCGGCGAGGGTCCCACATGGCATGGCAGACCTCTCCTGTCTTGCCTGATGCTCCTCTCAGCAGTGTATTTCGTCAGTCTGCCTGTTCTGTTTCCCTCTCTGTCTCTGGTGACTCCTCTCACACACCCCCACCTCTGGCCTGTACCCCAGCTCTTGTATAAATAAATAAATCTTTAAAAAAAAAAGAAACTATTACTTTGATCTTGAAACTATTAATTTGAGAGCTTTGGTTTCTTCATTTTATTTATTTTTTTAAAAAGATTTATTTATACAAGCATTGGGTACAGTCAGAAGCGCGGGAGGGTGAGAGAATTCACCAGAGCGGGGAACAGAACAGGCAGACTGATGAAATACACTGCTGAGGGGAGCAGTGGGCGCGGCAGAAGAGGTCTGTGCACAATGTGGGACCCTCGCCGGTGGTGGGGGATCGAACCAGCACTGCAGAGGCTGTGGGCAGCTTTGCAGCTCAGCGCTCAACCGCTGCACCACCAGGGGAGGCCCGGTTTCTTCATTTTTAAAACAAGGCTGATATCCACCTCTTAGGGGCTGGATAGCAGCTTCAGATGGTTGGTATTTTGCTGCTTGGCTGTAGTCACTCATATCAAGAAGGTTAACTGAGGAGCTCAAGTGTTTGGGATGCAAGAATGGTCAATCAGCATACTTTTCAGAAATAGAACTTGGAACTGGGAAGTCCAGATATGCTTCTTACTGATGGTGTGAGCATGAGGGGATCCTGGGCAGGGAACCTGTGCTGTGCATGGATTCTAACTCAACCAGCTTCTCTGGTCTTAACATTTTCTGGCTCCGGCTCTGTGTCCTGCATTTATCTTGACCAACAAATCATGCAAAGTTGGCTATGCCTTAGGCATTTGAGAGGCAGCTAAGGATGAGGGAAGCACAAGGCCACAGCAGCCCAGTTAGGACACTGCCCAGGGCCAAGTCACTCTTATGCTGAAACATTCCAGTGAGCTTGGCTTTCTGGTTTCTAAGACCATTACTGATTAAAGGATACCAATTAGAAGAAAGGAATCCAGACTTTCTGGGGAGGGATACAAACCCTTTTTTTTTAAATATTTATTTTATTTATTTATACAAGCACTGGGTACAGTCAGAAGCGCGGGAGGGTGAGCGAATTCACCAGAGCCAGAGCGGGGAGCAGAACGGGCAGACTGACGAAGAAGTACACTGCTGAGGGGAGCAGCAGGCATGGCAGGAGAGGTCTGCGCGCCATGTGGGATGCTCACCCGGCGGCCGGGGATTGAACCGGCACTGCAGAGGCCACGGGCAGCTTCGCAGCCCAGCGCTCAACTGCTGGGAGGCCCAGGGATACAACCCTCTATGCAGGAAGGGACAGGAGATGAAAAAGGAGAAGCCAAAGGTACATAACCCTCCACAGAAAGGGGTTGCTTGGTGATGGGGGCTAAGATACCCAAAGGGGTCCCAGTTCACTGGACAAGTACCACCACAATGGTCCTATTTTCCAACAAGAATTCAGTCACTCTAAGGAACCAGAAGTATCTAATACATACCAACATGTTTATAATTAATATTTTAAAGTCTTCAACCTAAAGCTCTTCTATCCATAAGGTTAATTTCCCAGGCCTCTCAATACTAGAGAGTGTGAAATTTCACCATATATAAGAAAAGGGTGTGGTTGATTTTTTTTTTTTTTTTTGAACTTTTATCCCTCTAGTCTGGTGTCCAAGTAAAACTCTAGGGACTGGATCAAAGCTTCAGTGGCCTACAGGCTGATTCCCTAACAGTGGAAATGATCAGGGACATCTGGGTGTGGGAGGGCCCTTCATGGTCCTTAGCCCCCAGGCCCAGGCCACTAATTGACACCAGTGAACGTGTGCTCATGCCTGGGGCATGCTTTGCTCAGATGTGTCTACAGCTAGGATCCTGGCCTGCCAAGGGTGTGCATGATCTCCCTTTACTTTGGAGAAGTAACATTTTCCTAGATGTGGTGTGGGTATAAAGGAGGTCAGCCCGGCTAAGACTATTTAACAGCCATGTAATCTTAACTTTTCCAGCCTGTTACATACATTTCATGTAAAATATACTTCGAAATGTGTTCTGAAGGCTGGATGTGGTGACAACCTGCCCTCCCCCACACACCCCTCTGCCAGGTCTAAGTCCTCTACTTCTTTTCCTCACCAGATGCGGCGGCAACAGCGGATGGCCGTCAGCCTGGAGCTTCGGAAGGCCAAGAAAGATGAGCAGGCCTTAAAGAGAAGGAACATCACCCACATCTGCTCAGACAGAGCTTCTGGACAGCTGGCCGGAGAGGTACATCAGGAATAGGGCTGCTCTAAATGAAGTTGTATGTGCCACCTCCTTGCTAAGTTTCTCTGGCCTGAATATATTGAATAAACTCAATTTCCAAGCTCTAGTTAAGTTCTTTCAGGGTAGAGTTAGAGTATAACCAGTGAGAAAAAGCTAAGGGCTGTTAACTTCGGGGCTGTGAGTCGGGGAATCTGTGTTCGGGGGGACTGGAGAAGGTATTCACTTGCTCCCCTCTGCCAGAAACATGAGATGAGTGGTTTTGAAGGTTATCTCTCAGTAGAAACATCTAGTCACTCACAGGTGAAGTCTTGTTTATGACTTGGAAATTGTCTTCTGTCTTCTCCATCCACCCCAGCTTTGCTAAGTGCAAATCCTAGGTTGTCTTCCAGGTTCATGCAGTTTTTGTGAATTCTTTCCAGAATGCCCTGATAGGGAGGTTTCCTTTCTTATAGATTCAACATTGACTAGTCATAAGTATGAGGGTTTATTTAGATTCTCTTTGACTGACCTACGGTACTTCTCCTGATGTCAGTACAACACAGACTTCATTGCTGTAGCTTTGTAGTAGGTATTGAAATTGGGAAGTGTGTGTCTTCCACATGGCCCTTTTTTATTTAATTTGCATTTCTACATGAATTTTAGAATCAACCTGTCTATTTCTTTAATAGAGTAAAGTCATATTTTGATGATGGTTGCACTGACTCTGTAGCTCAATTTTTGGAGCATGGTCATACAAATAATAACTTTTCCAATTCCCAATAACATGGATAGTCTATTTTGGCCCTCCCTACATTTTGAAAAATAGTTTTCAGCTTATAAGTGTTACAGTTTTTGAGTTAAATCCATTTCTAAATGTTTTATTTTTCTTGATGCTATTGTAAGTAAAATTATTTTCTTAATTTCAGTTTTGGATGGTTCATTGTTGGTGTATAGAAATATATTTGATTTTTTGCATGTTAATCCTGCAACCTAGATGAACCTTGTTTATTAGCTCTAAGTGTGTGTGTGTGTGTGTGTGTGTGTGTGTGTATTTGTGTATTCTTAACACTTTGTGCATCCATGATCAGAAATTTTACTTTCTTTCCAATCTGGATGACTTCTGTTGTTCTTTTTTTTTTTTTTTTAAAGATTTATTTATTTATTTATACAAGCACTGGTACAGTCAGAAGTGTAGGAGGGTGAGAGAATTCACCAGAGCCAGAGCGGGGAACAGAACAGGCAGACCGATGAAATACACTGCTGAGGGGAGCAGTGGGCACAGCAGGAGAGGTTTGCGCACCATGTGGGACTCTCGCTGGTGGCCAGGTATCGAACCAGCACTGCAGAGGCTGTGGGCAGCTTCTCAGCCCAGCACTTAACTGCTGCTGGGGATGCAGCACTGGGGATGCCCCACCCTTGCATTCTTTATTGAGACTCAGCTAATCTCTTTTTGACTTGAACAGCACAAATTGCTACAAGCCTTTGGTTAATTTCTAGGGTTCTGAGAAAGTTTGATAATTTTCATTAGTTTTCTTGTTGCTTTATGGAAGGGAATTTTTGGAGATCCTTGACTCTGACATTTTTACATTGACTAGCATGTTCTTACTGCATGGGATAAAAGGTACTAGGGATCCAATGAGCGATAGGAATTACCTCTCCCCCAGAGCACAGGGAGTATGTCACAGATCTGTGGGAGCACTACATGTTCCTCCTGTCCCTAATATAGATCAACATGCAGGATGCGCCATCCTATTATGCCAACCTATTCTAATCATTAGGTGGTTAGTCTAGATGACCTTCATGGTTCCCTTGAGCAGAGAGTCTGACCTGAATGTCTCTTTCCTTACAGGTCAACCTCACCCTACTTGAAATAATCCAAGGTGCAAATACCTCTGATCCAGACTTATGTTTCCAGGCCACCCAGGCAGCCAGGTATTGCCAAATAGACTTCTGTTATTTGTGATTTTGTGGCTAGAGATGAGCTCTGATGGTCTATTTGGATTCCTGGCAGTGGCAAAATGCCCACAAAATATAAGAAAAGGCTGGTCCTTTCAAAAGTGAGATCAAATTGCTCTTCTGTGTTGTCCTTGAGAACAACTTAAGATATGCAATGTGTTGTCAGAGATGAATTGCTTAGTTTAAATTGGCCTCTATAGGAATCTTAGCTCATAGATAATACCTGAAGGGGAAAATGTTGCTTCATCACTGCAAAATGCTGTAGGTTGAACTCTAGGATATTAACTAGCTCTGCTCCAGCTGTTTGTCTCCTTTGATAGTTAGGAATGCCAAGAACATCCATAAAGGAGGTTTTTAATACCAGCCTCCATGATTTGTTTTTGTTTTCTCTTTCTTTCATTGCAAAGGAAAATGCTGTCCCGGGAAAAGAACCCTCCTCTAAAACTGATTGTAGAAGCAGGACTCATTCCCAGACTGGTGGAGTTCCTGAACTCTTCCCTTCATCCATGCTTGCAGTTTGAGGCAGCCTGGGCTTTGACGAACATTGCTTCAGGGACTTCAGAACAGACCCGCGCTGTTGTGGAAGGGGGGGCCATCCAGCCCTTGATTAAGCTCCTGTCTTCTCCCCATATGACTGTGTGCGAACAGGCAGTGTGGGCTCTTGGTAATATAGCAGGTGAGATGCTCCCCCTGAGTGGGCTAAGAAGACAGAGGGCTAGGCATGTGGCTTGTTATGGGAGTTCTGTGATTAGTATTGTAGACTTGATATTCTGGAACACTCCAAGTAGAAATAACTGGAAATGATAGGAAAGGTATAGCAGACTTTTCAAAAATGCACAACCAAGGTCAGAGGTCAAATGTTGAAGCTGAAAGCAAATGATGCACAGAAGCAAGAGGCTGTCCAGGGACATCAGCAGGTGCCAGGGTCCTACAGTCTCAGGTTTCAATGGCTGTAGGAACAAAAGATAACTCTTTGGTCCATGCAAGGTGGGGTTTTGTGGCCCTTACACAACTCAGGACTCTAGAAGAACTCTGTTTCCAGTGAAAATTGCCAAAGGAACATACAACAAAAAATGTTTTCTTAACTTGGGGTAAAAATCTTCCCTTAAAGCTCAATCCAGGGGAACTTAATGCAATGTTTCTTGCATGGCCTGGAAAAGTACAAACTGAGTTGTTGGCGCTGCAGGATTGGAAGGTCCCAGATTCCTGGTTAAATGTAAATGCAGTGCTCTTTGGGGAAAATGAACTCAATTGGGCCCTTCAGGATTTTGACAAATTAAGATCAGACAAATATTAGCAACTTCAAGTCCAGAGACTCAGCAACCCTCCATGACTGAGTCAGCAGAAGCAAACAATGTGATTAGACCTCTCAGGACTTCAGATACTAGGATTAGCAAACACAGAATACAAATAAGTCTGCTTGCAGAAATAAAGCACCTACTACAGAGACTTGGTCTCTCATTTTGCTTGGATAAGTAAGGAATGACAAAACTAGGTGGTAAAATATAACTATGTCTTGCCTGATGGTGGATGGGGTGGTTATAATCTGAGACTTCTAGGGTCTAAAACTGGTATTCTAGCTGAAGCATCAGACAGCTGGTGGCTAGTACCTGTCAGTTTCCCAGCCTTGTTCTGAGTTGCATTTGGAAGTTACTGCCCCTGCCAAAGATTTCTGGGAAAATGGTTTGGTCTGCAGTGACCATCATCTTTCTGAGAACCATGTTGTGAGATGCCTCTGTCACGTAGAGCTCACTGCCTGTGTCTGCAGGCTCTGCTTATAGCAGTTGTGTGCTGTGTGGTGCCTGCTTTTCATGTCAGGCCCAGCCATCCAGCTGTCACCTTGGAGACCCAGGATCTAATATGCTATGCTGTCTAAACCCAGAAACAGTTTTTGGCCTCTCACCCTTTACACAGACTCATTAAAAATTAGTCATCCACCTCAGGATTCGCTTTGTTCTCTCTTTGAATGTCATATTTGTATCTATTTGCAGGGGATGGCCCACAGTTCAGAGACATCATTATCTCCAGCAATGCTGTCCCACATTTGCTTGCCCTGGTTTCATCAACCATACCAGTGAGTTACTTTAAATTAGAAAGCCTAGAGAGAGAACCAGTCTCCAAAGTTGGGAAATTGGGGAGGAACTTTCAAATCAATACTCAATTAGTCGATGCTGCCTAGTCTCTTATGACAGAGTTATAGAGTAGGCCTAGTCAGTAGTTCTGATTTTTCTTCTGAAAGAGGTTCATGAAAACTTTGAAAAACTTTTACAACCCAGCCAAAGTAGAAGACAGGCTTTCCATTCAAGTGACACAGACAGAATCAATAACTCACCAGTTGGTTCCTGGATAGTGTCTAGACTTGAAGCTAAGAGTCACAGTTGACAAATGTGACAACAATAGAGGACTTCCTGGATTAGGAATTAAATTTAGGTTAGAGATATGCTTCAAACAAGAATGAAGAGAGAAGGTGGCTTCCAAAAGCCAAAGGTAAAACATGCCTAGCCCTCCAGGTGCAAGAACACCTGACATGGTTGAACCAGAAAAGGGCTGGCATAACCAGAAAAGGGCTGGCATTACCAGAGGATTTTTGAGGAGAGGAGTATAAAATGGCAAGTGGGCCAAGGGACATCACCCTGGAGGCAAGGACAACCTTGGGAGGATTTCAAGGTAAGAAGTGAGATGGTCTGAGCTGAATTCAGAAAGACCGTTTTGGCTGATGTTGTAGGGCTATAGCAAAGGGAGACAGTAAAGCAGACAGATCCAGATGACATTGTGTGGAGAGGACAGGGGAACCAGACCTTGTGGTAGATGTTAAGTGGAAGTGAGTGGGAGGCAGTGTTGAAGCAATGTCAGGTAGGTGGATGTGCAGGTCTAGATGATTCCCTATACATATGTCATCCCACAGGGCCAGATCAACTAGAGCAGGGGCCAGCTTGCTTTTGTAAGTAAAGTTTTAATGGCACACACCATGCTTATTCATTTTTGTTTTCATATTATCTATAGCTTTTGCAGTGTTACAAGGGCAGAGTTGACTCATTGCAACAGAGCCCATCTGGTCCACAAAGCTGGACATGTTTACTCTCTGGCCCTTTACCGAAGAACATGACCAATCCCTGACTTAGAGTGTGGGGGGTGTCTCAGACCAAGTCCTAGGGGCTCTGACATTCAGAAGTCTGGCAGACCCCACCCAGAAGACTGGGAAGAAACAGCCCACTTGGCAACAGAAAGCCAGGTTTGAGCATAGATTCCCTTTTTTTTTTTTTTTTTAAAGGAATAGACTGGTACTGAATATAGCTGAGAGAGACAGTAATTTGAGGACTGGAAGGCAGCTGTTGGATTTGGTGACTTGAAAGGATCTGATTTCATCACTACTGATAAGGAAGTAGGGGCAGAAATCATGCTAGAGGGGCTGGAGGACCAATGGGATGCTGCAAGGTGGGTAGTGAAGGCAGATGCTCCTTGGGAATGGACTTTGCAAAGTAAAGTAGATGATGGCTCAACCAGGGCCAGGAGCCAAGGCAGGGTGGAAGGTCACAGAGTGTTTCTCTGTTGGTGGGAGGTGGTCCCAGGAACAGAATCTTTAAAGGCAAAAGTGATGGGATCCTGAGATAGGAACACTGATCCTCCACCAGATCAGAAGTGTGGTCAGAACATGTCAGCCAAGTTACAGACTAGTGGGAAGATCAAGTAATTCCTGCTTGATCTTTGATTTGCCAGTGAAAAAAATGAAATTAGGTCATCCACTGACTAGTGTGAGGAAAGACTTTTGAAGAATATAAGGAAACCATCATCAAACATTTGAATATGAAACATAATGCTCAAGTTCTGTGACCCGAGTATACATCACTACCTAGAACAAGTTCCTATTTGAAGTTCAAAAGCTTTGGTTCATGCTGGTCGATAATATTGATCAAAGAGGGCTAGGGCACTGTCGTTTGTGTTTTCTCTTCTTCACCCCTGATGCTAGAAGCAGTCTCCTCATTACAGATCACGTTTCTGCGGAACATCACGTGGACCTTGTCCAACCTGTGCCGAAACAAGGACCCGTACCCTTGTGAAAAGGCGGTGAAGCAAATGCTGCCCACCCTCTTCCACCTCCTACAGCACCAAGACAGCGAGGTCGTCTCGGACACCTGCTGGGCCCTGTCCTACCTCACTGACGGCTGCAACAAGCGCATTGGCCAAGTGGTTGACACAGGGGTCCTGCCCCGGCTAGTGGAGCTCATGACCAGCTCAGAGCTCAACGTCTTGGTAAACATCCCAAATCCTGTCTGTCTGTGCAAGGGCTTCAGATTAGAGGCCATGAATCATGGTCACTTTAGCGAGTTCTTTTCCCAGGGAGGCCAGCAATAGCTCTAATCCTTTACCTAGAACAAAGCTTGTCTTCAGCGTTGCCCTGATCTCTGCTACTCTGGAGCCAAACATGAATCTATTTTGATCTCAAGTCCTAGTGGGTAGTAAGTACACTTACTCTTTCTTCGGATAGCTAGATCATTTAGAAAGGTACCAAATTAAAATTGCTTATAATTCTCCACCCAGTAAATTATTCTTTCATGGCTTTTCCTTCTAGTGGTCTATGCAGGTAGACTTTGACAAGTAGATTCATATAGGAAACATCAAGATGAGAGGGTGAGGGATGGATAAGGAGGAGGGGGGGTTAGGGGGAGAAAAGAGGAGGGGCTTGGTGGGGGAGGGGGGAGAGAGCTACACAGAGCCTGTATGTATATTGTATTGATATAATGCTGATGGTAACATTTGAATTTCTTTTTTTTAAGATTTTATTTATTTATTTATTTATTTATTTATTTATTTATTTATTTATTTATTTATTTATTTATGCAAGCACTGGGTACAGTCAGAAGCGCGGGAGGGTGAGAGAATTCACCAGAGCCAGAGCGGGGAGCAGAGCAGGCAGAAGGACCGAAGTACACTGCTGAGGGGAGCAGCGGGCGGCAGGAGAGGTCTGCGCGCCATGCGGGACCCTCCTCTGGTGGCCGGGGAGCAGCCAGGGATCGAACCGGCGCCGCAGAGGCCGCGGGCAGCTTCGCAACCCAGCGCTCAACCGCTGCGCCACCAGGGGAGGCCCCATTTGAATTTCTTAAATATAGAAGAAAATTTCCTCTTTATCTTTCCCCCAGTTTGTTCTCTTAGACTATTTCAGGTACAGGTAAAAATTAAGACCAACATCAAATTTTCTGCTATGTTATGAAACATTTCACTTACATCATATACTTTTGAAAATGGCATAAAATATGGGTGCCTCTTTTGATCTCTGTGCCTCTATATTTTGCATTGTGCATCCTTGTGTTCCTCTCTTTTGAGATTAGCATCATCTCAGGGCACATCCTCAAATGTCAGGGTTAGTTGGAGGACATTGCTGGAGACAGGGATGGGGGTGGTGTATGAGGACAGTAGCTACAGAAACTTCTTATCCTGAGGGCCGGGATTCTGATGGGAGCTGTCCTGGGAAGGCTTTGATTGGCCTATAGCTCTATTTCTACCTCTCACCTGAGTAGCAGTTACCTGGCCTGATAGGCTAGTAAGACTCTAGAACTGCTGATTGTGTGGGGCTGCTACTATGGTGCAGAGAAACCAAAATGAATCCAATCAGCCCTCCTCAGACAGAGTCTGATGTACACCCATCCTGGCACCTTCATTTGAATGCACCAAAACTGCCAGTGGGATTTTGTGAGCTCCAATTAAGTCTACCACAGAAGCTTGATACTGGTGTTAAATATTGATTCAGCAGAAATGATTACATTATAAACACTAGAGTCAATTTAGCTCTTCCCAGTGGAAGGCCATAAAAGGGACAGCATCACTTCTTGACAAAGGTAACCTTTGACCTCTGTCCCACTTGAGCTGGTACCTATAAACTATGTAAAAGTCCATGGATGAGCTGAATTAATAAGGATCGTGGCTTTAGTCATTGTTCCTGAACATCTAGAGAGCCTTCTGCACAACATATCTAATGTTTGGGAGCGCACAGAACCTTCCATTGGGATAAATGCACAATACTCGGTGAGACACCTACTGTTGTTCTTGCAGACCCCCTCTCTCCGCACTGTGGGGAACATCGTCACGGGCACAGATGGACAGACCCAGGTGGCCATTGACGCCGGCATGCTGCACGTGCTGCCACAGCTCCTGATACACCCCAAGTCCTCCATCCAGAAGGAGGCCGCGTGGGCCCTGAGCAACGTGGCCGCAGGGCCCTGCCAGCACATCCAGGAACTGATTTCTTATGGCATACTGCCTTTCTTGGTGGCACTGCTCAAAAATGTAAGTGGCACACCCAGCATCGTGGGCGAGAGGCTACTTTCCAAGTGGCCTTGAGATGAGCTCCTTTCAGGAATTCACACCCTGGTGAAGGGGCAAATTAAGATCACAACAAAGCTATGAAACATTAATTTCCCAGCTCTTCCTGGCATCCCTTCCTGGAGACCCCATTAAGAATTGCTTGATGAGAAGGTGCCCCACAGCTCAAATAAAATCTTGAACTGGTAAATATTGGCTTATCTCTATGCAGTGTTAAAAGAACGTGCCACCTACTCTCTACTTGCCAAACAAGGGAGGAGGTTTGTTTTTGTTTTAGGAGGAAAAACGTATCGGGTTATGGTGATATTATATACTGAAGAAAGGTGGCCTTTTCAGTGTAAAAATCACATTGATTAGAGTGGTAATATACACAGAAAATCCAGAGATAAAAGTAGGAATACAATAAAGCTTCCTTATTCCTCCTGATTTCCATTTCCCTCTCCCTGGGTAACTATTATTGTCGCTGTTTGATTTTTGCCATTTTATAATGGACCAACTAGTTGAAACCATTGGCATGTAAACAAGTCAAGCTGGGTTGGGAGCAGGGAGGCTAGTGGAGTAGGGTGGGAAGAGAATCTACTAGGGAGTTCCTGCTCTCAGGTTAGATGTCAGGTTCCAGGTGTGCATTAGGTATGAACAGCTGGGCCAGGTGTGCATCTTCTCTCCATGAGATACTTCCTGTCTTGCATTCTTCTGTGAGTCTGTACACATTCTAATAGGCACCCAATCATGAATCAAAGAGTAGTTGTTTCAAATGCTACCTTTTCAACTCCATTAGAGCTACAAATTGTTTGAGTTTTTTGTTTTAAATTAACATCACAGTTCTCCTCAGCTGCAAAATAGGAATAACTCCTGCTCAGGGATCGAAGGAGCCATGGTAAAATAGTCATATCTGTGGGCAAAGTGCTTTTTATAAATGCAAGGGATTCACTGATAATGGCTTAGTCCCTGATATCTTACCTGTGTGCTCAACTTTATATCTATGAAGCTTCTTGTCCAATGTTTTCCTGGGTCAGAATAACTAGAAATGTAGACAGAGGCCACTACAATCTAAAATTCCAAGCATGATTTCTAATCTACACCCCTGGACTGGCTTATGTTGGCTTATGTTTCCCATAACCTGACTTAAGGAAACGAGTCTGTTTGACCTCAGAACCTTCCTCTAGGACCCTTGATAAGCCTGCCCGCCTGCTTCTTGTCTACTTAAAGATGCTCTCATCTGCTCAAAATCAGAGGCAGGTTGCCAAGGCATTCCATGTAAATTGCACATAGTGTCCTGGCTGTCACCAGCCTTCCTAGAAATTGAACCAATTTAGCATCACTATATTTAAATGTTTCAGGATCTGTAATGAATGTAAACATTCTCTTTCTGCAGGGAGAATTTAAAGTCCAGAAAGAAGCTGTCTGGACGGTAGCTAACTTCACAACGGGGGGCACCTTGGACCAGTTAATCCAGCTTGTCCACTCTGGAGTCTTGCAGCCACTGGTGAATCTGCTCACTGTCCAAGACACCAAGATTGTTCTCATCATCCTTGATGTCATCTCATATATCTTCCAGGTAAACAGTTCTGAACAGATTGGTTTCTAAATAGCAGTCTTAAAATTTAAGACATTTAATTTGGTTCTTAAAACTCAAGGATTCTCTTTCCTCTCTACTCCCCCACCCTCTCTCTGTGTCTGTACATCCTAAGGACAAGGAAAGCAAGAGGCTGTTCAAGAAGAGTTTATTTATTTTCTCAAATGAGTGTCTTTGCATCCAGCACTATTTTAGATGCTCAGGATATGACCAAACCAAGGACCAAAGTCCTTGCTCAGTAGAATGGAGGTACTGGTGGGGAGGTAGGCAGATCCATCACTTAGGAAGTAGTGGGTAAATTATCTGGTAAAGTGATAGTCATGATGGCTTGGGGTGGTAAAGGGAATGTTGATCTCTTATATGCAGTAATCAGGAGAAACTACTCTGAAGAAGAACATCTGAGAAAAGGCCCAAGATAAGTGAGTCCTGTGGCTATCTGGGGAAGAGCATTGTAGGTGAAAGGAAGAGCCGGGACTGAGAGGGGTGTGGCCAGAGCAGAGCAAAGGGATGGAAAGTGATAGAAGACCAAACTCAAGATAGCTAGGGATCAGCTCACATACATTTTGTGAGAACAACGATTGAAGGTTTGGAGCAGGAAGAGTCTTGTGGATGGCTCACTTCAAAGGCCAAAACATAGAACAGTAAGAAGTTAGCAGGAGTAGATCTCATCAGGCCATAATGAAGTCCTTTTCAATTCAGTTGTTTGAGAAAATGTAAAACATTGAATTAGAGTTCTAGAAAAGCCTTATCTAGGCTTTTCTAGACAAAAGCTAAGTTAAGCCAGTATTTGTATACTATTTGTGTCCATTCCACATTGCTATAAAACAGATTACCCAATTAGAGGCTTACAACAACCTTTTATTATCACACATAGCTTTGGGGATTAGGAATCCAGGCTGGCATGCTATATCATTCTGGCTCAGGGTCTCTCTTGAGGATCAAAATGTCAATGCGGGCTGCAGTCTCATCAGAAAGTTTGATGAAGGTTGGAAGATCACCTTCCAAGATGATTTACTTACATGCTTAGCAAGTTACTCTTGCCATGTGGATTTCCCCATGGGACTGCTTGAATGTCCTCACGTCATAGCAGCTGGCTTCCTCTTGAGTGAGTGATCAAGAGGCAGAAATGTAGATGTTTTTTAAGACCTAGTCTTAGAGGGCCTCCCCGGTGGCGCAGCGGTTGAGCGCTGGGTTGCGAAGCTGCCGGCAGCCTCTGCACCGTTGGTTCGATCCCCGGCTGCTCCCCGGCCACCAGAGGAGGGTCCCACATGGTGCGCAGACCTCTCCTGCCGCCCGCTGCTCCCCTCAGCAGTGTACTTCGGTCCTTCTGCCTGCTCTGCTCCCCGCTCTGGCTCTGTCTCTGGTGAATTCTCTCACCCTCCCGCACTTCTGACTATATCCAGTGCTTGTATAAATAAATAAATAAATCTTTAAAAAAAAAAAAAAAAAGACCTAGTCTTAGAGATCATTGCAACAGCATCCTATTGGTTACACAGATTAGCCCCTATTCAACATGGGAGGGAACTATACAAGGCATGAATATCAGGAGGCAGGGATCACTGGGGTCACCTTGGAGGCTGGCTCTATTAATTTGGTTAATGTCCTTTGATATGCAACACAAGCCATTTGAAAAGTTTCAAAGTAACACCAGGTAACTCCTTCTAAAAACCCACTTTAAGCATCCTTTTCATGTAACTGTCTTAGAAAGAACTGACTTGAGTCAAGATCACACTTGAAATACAGTCCAATTAGACACTGAGACTTTGAGCAGATCACACAGATCAAGAGTAGAGCCTTGGCAACCAGCAGACAAAATTGGATATAAGTTTGTGGAAGTACCCTTGTGGGCTATCTGAATTTAACTTCATCTGCTTCATCTGAATTTAACTTCATCTGAAGTAGACACTAGGGGTTTTGTCTTAGGAGTGCCTGGGCAAATCGCACCTGATGGACAGTGAAGCCCCTGTATCAGATCAAGGAACCAGGCACAGTAGGTTAGAAAGATTGAGATTGGATAGGAGAATATTTCAAGGGGCAGCAGAGTGCAGGTAAACTAACTTTTGGGGCTACGTGTTGGGTTAAGATCCAAAATCCACTTCCAGGGCTCCTGCTGTACTGGGTCATTCCGCACTTCCCGCTTTTCTCTCTGAGGTTAATGTAATGTTTGGTGCATGTTTCAGTTTCTCCACTTAAAACCCGTGAGTAACTGGGCGGGTGGGTGTCTGAGCTTAAACATACTGTGCCGAAGTTCATCAGGCCAGCAATCTGGAGTGAATAATGACTAAGTTGACTCACAGGAGATTTCTTATTACTGTTCAACAACTGGTGAGCAGAGCCCCTCAGGAGGAAAAACTTAGATGCCAAAGTTTTTCTTTCAGTTTATAAAAATATATATTTCAAAGTTCATTTAATCTTCTATACTATGAGCATCCACCCCAAAGTGTTTCTTAATCTTTCTCCCATTTGCCGCAGATATGCTGTTTAGTTGAACTACTCCTTCTTCTCATCATAAACAGTACTTTCACACCTTCAAATCTTTGTCCCTGCCTGACCTTCTTTTGAGGAACGTCATTATCCTATGACAGACCCTGGCCTATAGAATTCATTAGGAACTTGTATTGTTTTCCAAGGCTTCCTACACATCTTCTGTAATTTAAACCTGCTTACTATGTTTTTTCTACTGTAACAATTACTCGTGTCCTGCAATAGTATGAGTTATGAAAGGACCTTCTCTAAGTTCCATCTTTAATTCTAGTTTTGTGTGCCTTGCCCCCAGGACACGAACAAATGTTTGAGTGATGAAATAGCCCTGGATGAGCAATCCAGGGACCAGCATTGGAATAAACCCAATCATATTAATTGGCCCGAGGACACCATTCTCTGCCTAGGTGTGACTTCTGTGACTAGGGTCTCCTGACTTCTCTAGCCAGGCTTTCCAGGAAGCACAGGGCCAGAGCATCTTCACTTACCCAGCAATATTTGACCATTCTTTCAAACTGTGTTTAAAATGAGTCCGTTCATTAGATGGGTCTACAAATAGTGGCCTATGTATGGTATGGATGGCAACATATTCAGTAAAAGAAATAAGGCATTTTGGGCCATGAAAGTAAGCCAATGTATGTATGTATATGTGTACATGTTTGTATGTGTGTGTGTATTTGTATATGTGTGCATATGTGTCTCCCAAATCAGAGGACTATCCAAAATGGGAGGAAGCCCATGGTGTTTTAAGTCTGTTGAGGGAAGAATGGGAGCCTTAGGATTCCTCTGAGCCAAAGCTCCACCTCTATTAGGCCCCTGCCTAGACCCTCAGTTCTTGTCCTACCCACAGGCTGCAGAGAGACTTTCTGAGAAGGAAAACCTCTTTCTCCTGATTGAAGAAGTCGGTGGTATTGCTAGAATCGAGGCCTTGCAGCTTCATGAGAACCGCCAGGTTGCCCTGACTGCCTCAAACATTATTGAGAACCACTTCTGTGAGGTAAGTTACTTCAGAGAGACAGGGGAGGCCAGATCTCCTGCTGAATCACCTCAGCAGGCTGTCACCCAGCCAGCAGGTAACTCAGCTGAGTGGCCCCCATCCATGCTTTGGGGCCATCACTGAGCAGCAGCAGCTTCCTGGCTTCTGGAAACTACTCTAGTCCTATAGCTTGTCCTGCTGTGTCTGGCTTATAATTTCACTTTTTTTTTTTTTTACCTACATACCTCTTTTTTGGGGGGGATTGGGAAAGGGGAGGAAGTAGATGTGATAATAAAGTAACTTTTTATTAAGAAATGCAAACAACTAAGGCAGGCCTAGCTTTTGGAAAAAACATTTTGCCACTTAATCCATTTCTCTCTACAGAATATGGTGTTTAGGGATGAACACTACAAGAGGCTTCTAAGTATTCTGCAGGTGTGGAAATGATGATCAGATAGCATTAGAAAGTTTTAAAACCTTTTTTTGGTAAAATACCCATAATGTAAAATTTCTACCATCTAAGTGTGCAGTTTGGGGGCAATAAGTACATTAAGTACATCACACCATCTTCTCCAGAATGTTTTCATCTTCCCAAACCAAAGTCTGTCCCCATTAAATAAGAGCACCCCACTCCTCTTTCCCTGGCCCCTGGTAACCACAATTCTGCTTTCTGTCTCTATGAATTTGACCACTCTCGGTACCTCAGGTAAGTGAAATCAGGCAGAATTTGTCTTTTTGTGTCTGGCTTATTTCACTTAGCATCGTGTCCTCATGGCTCATTGTACATGTCAGAATTTCTTCCCTTTTTAAGGTTGAATAATACCCCATCCTGTGGAAATGACCCCTCCGTTTTTATTTACCCCTCCGTTCACTGTGGGTGTGCTGTTATGAACAAGGGTCTACATATGTCTGTTTGAGTACCCGCTTTCAATTCTTTTGGCCATATACACAGAGGGGGACTTACTGAATCATATAGTAATTCTTTTTTTTTTTTTTTTTTTTTTTTTTTTTGTGGGACCCTTGCTGGTGGCCGGGGAATGAACTGGTGCTGCAGAGGCTGCGGGCAATGGTAAAATACCCATAATGGTATTATGGGGAGGACCTGGTAATTCTATTTTTAATAGAATCACCATGCTGCTATCCATGGTGGGTGCACAGCAATGTACAGCAGTTCCTAAATCCCAGCCCTTTTGCCAACATTTGTTATATTCTGTTTTTTTTTTTATCATAGACAGCTTAATAGACAGGCAATGGTATCTCACTATGATGTGATATGGGCTTGCATTAGATATTTTTTATATGTGGAAGGTCAGCTCAAAGTTTTTAAGTGACCTAGTAGGTATCAAACTTAATCATCAGCAAAATGCAGAGCCTTACCATAAATATGACCATGTTGGTGGTGGTTTTTTTTTTTCCATTCTTTTTCCATTGTTGTTTTATTTTAAGTTTGTGGTTGTTGCCAACTGAAGGCAACTAATCTTGTTTTGGGAACAAAAGATTGCTCTAAAAGTGGAGGAAAAACAGTGGCAATTAGCATCTTCTAGGTTAGCTTCTCCCATAAAAACTTCATAATTCTGGAGACACATCTATTAAAGGTGGGAAGCAGTTGAATCCACAGGATTCATCAGGGGTTCCAGATTAAAGACATCTGATCTAAAAGTAACAGCTACTCCCACTGTATTCTTCTTCACTGTAAGGGTAGTATTCTGTGTCTCAAAACTGCATTTAAAAGTAAGCTAGACACAAGAAGACAAAGACTGTATGACTCTATTTACATAAAGTTGTCAGACTTATAAGAACAGAAAGTAGAATGGTGAATGCTAGGAGCTGAGGGCAGCGGGAAGGAAATGGAGGTTGTTTAATGGATAGATTTTGGTTTGGAAAGATTTAAGTTCTGGAAACAGATGGTGGGGGTGGTTGCACAGCAATGGGGATGAATTTAATGCCATTCAACTGTCCACTTCATGATTTAAGGTGATAAGTTTTAGGTAACACGTATCTGACCACATTTACATGAAAATTGCTTTTTAAATGAATACTTGTCTTTTTTTTTTTTTTTTTTAATAGAGGCATGTTTTATTTATTTATTTATTTGTTTGTTTGTTTTTGTTTATACATGCACTGGGTACAGTCAGAAGTGCGGGAGGGTGAGAGAATTCACCAGAGCCAGAGCGGGGAGCAGAGCAGGCAGAAGGACCGAAGTACACTGCTGAGGGGAGCAGCGGGCGGCAGGAGAGGTCTGCGCGCCATGTGGGACCCTCCTCCCGTGGCCGGGGAGCAGCCGGGGATCGAACCGGCGCCTCCGAGGCCGCGGGCAGCTTCGCAACCCAGCGCTCAACCGCTGCGCCACCGGGGAGGCCCCATGAAAATTGCTTTTAAGGTCTATCCTAAGAGACATTTCAGTGCCTCTCTCTCTAATCTCACTTGAGGAAGCCACGAGGCCAATTTAGAGCAAATTCTAATCCACAGAAGTTAAGGAGTCAAATGGGCAGTGAATGTGCTGAGTGCTGGGAGGTATAACGGTCTCTCTTTTTCCTGAAGGAAGAAGAAAATGGCATACATCATCCAGCCCAGGGCCATGAATTGTTAAACAATACCAAAGGCCCACAACTTCTAAGCCAACAACCAGGTTCTAAGGGAAGCTTCTTTAAGAAGTAGCACTCCAATATCTTAGTGTACCACAGGTGTAATGCTTTTTATCTGAATATTAATAAAATGTTTGACACTTTTGCCTCTGCCAAAAATGTTGGTATACCACTTGTGTCTTCAAGCCTGGGTTAGTATTAAGTATCTTAAAGAAAATAGAGTAGGATGGCCAGTAGCTGTTTCAACAAACTGACTTGTAGACTTGGTTTAACCAATATTTCTTCAGCATTTATTGCACCAGGAGTCCCCTTCCGTTCACACTTTCACATAATGCCAATTAACAACATTCTTCAGGAACAGCTGTGTCAGCCATGGTCAAAATGAGAGTGACAGGATGGGAAGGAGCTAGAATCACAGTATAGGCAGTGTGACAACAGATGTAGGATAAGTTTATATGGGAATTGGACTTTATTTGTGTAACTTAGTTATATTTTTGTTCTAAAGCAGCACAACAAAATGTCATGCCCAGAGGAAGTCTTTGCTGCCAGGTGAGGAGGAAGGGTGTGTGAGTGGGTGTCCATCAAAAATCCTGCTGGAAGACAGTTCACACATTCATAAATGTCTCATTCAGTGGTGCGAACGAATCTCTGACAGAGCAGACATCAGGCCTTCCAACCAATGTCTTCATGTCCTTTTGGAGTGGCCAGATCTTTCAGCTCTTGAGGGCTGTTGGTGGGATGGAATCTTCAACATGTTCTCCCAGAAAAAGAGGGGACCTGGGAGATTGTTCCTAGTCTCTTCTGTTCATCAGTTCAGGACATTCTAATGTGGCACATATTTGGTCAAGCAGAATGTCATCCTCTGAGGGCTTTGAATCTTAAACTCTGGGACTGAGCACAGAAGGAATAAATAGTTGTCATGTTGGTTTAGTCCAGTGGCAGGGCCTTATGTCAGCAGAGTGCATGTCCTTGGTGGCTTCCTGCTTCCTGATTATCTAGGAAGGACCTGCTTTCTACACACTCTCCCATACTTTTCTAATAAGTCACTTTTTAAATTAATATTTTATTTTATATAATTCTTACATCATTTTTCATTTTTGCACAATGTATGCATTTTCATTTTGGTTATATTCCCCGTACAATTGCACCCCCCCCTTATTTTGACCCTAGTCCTTCCTCTCCCCTTCTCTGCCCCCGCACCCTAGTGTGTCTCTGGTTTATAGTTGCTTGTTGATTTTGATTTTTATAAGTCACTCTTTGTAAGTAACCAGCATTAGTTTCTGTTGCTTACAACTGAAGAACCTTAACGGGTACACATGAAGAGTAAAAAACTAAATCACAATGCTATTTAAATCCAACAATAGATATTAAATCCCATTCTGTCAAGATAGATGTTGTATAAAATTTGAATTTTAAAATAAATAATGTAAAAATACAAAACATTACATATAAAATATTATGATATAGTACACATACAAGAGATTTTTTTAATTCAAAACAAAACTAAGAACAGAAAAAATTTATCCTAGCCAATGAAATTGTTTACATCTTCCCTTCCAGATTGAGTCAACATATGTTTTTTAATCTGATTGGGGTGAGATTCTTTTTCAGTGTTTTAAAACATTTTTCTCTAGACTGAAGTTGAGGGGAAGACAGTCTCAGGTGGTTTACAAAAATACTTCACTGAGAAAATTTTTAATTAAAAGGTTGAAACATTGTTGAAGTTAGTCACTGTTGCCCAAATAGTCTGACCTTGTTCACTCAACATACTGTTAGCCTCTTTTCTCTCCTTTTTGTCAATTGTTCTTTACTAAATTGCGTGAGAAAGGAACATTTGTAGTTTAAGGATAGGATGTCATCTTGTATAGGGATTTTTTTTTTTAAAGGTGCTCTTGGCCTATTCTACATGGTTTGGGAGCAAGGAGATAGTGTTAGTCACCTTCTGGCTGGGTGTCCATGTGCCTAAACTCCTGTGTTGGGAAGACAGAGCAACAAAGAGAAGAAAGGAGTAGCAGGCTTATGCCAGCTTTGCAGGATAAAAGCTGACCTGGAACAACTCTGACCCTCTTGTATTTACCCCAATTTGTCATATACCATAGAAGGAATGCAGTTCTCTTGGAATTCTCATGCGCAATCCACTTATCTGCCCTTCCTGAAGCATTGAGGGTTATTTAATGATAACAGCACTTGATGCTTTAGGTATATAGAGAAATTAATCGAACTTGAAGTCATAAGCTCTGGGTTTCAGTTCTGGCTCTTTTTCTAAATAGTTTAAGCCTTAACAAGGCATGTCATTTCTCTGTTTCTTAGTACCTCACCTGTCAATTCTTTTTCTCTGGAATTCAAGCTTCTGTGTATAAAATAGGGTGGGAATAGATAGTGGTATAATGTTTTCAAATATTTTTCTAAAGTGATACTAACAGGTAAGGCAAGAGTGGTATCAATTTCCAAATAAAGAAAACAGAAATCACAAGGTTACCCAGTTTCTCCATCTTTTAGTAAGTGGTAGAGAGGTCCTCAAGTGGAACCTGACCACAGATCATCTCAACTCCACCCAGAGCAAGGGATCTGAGAGTGTGTGCATGGGAGCGAAGGGGGGTGCCCTAGACAGAAGCCACACTTCTTTGTAACCTAATCTGGAGGGGGTGGACTGTCACTCCTGCCCTGTGTGATGGTTACACAATGGGGTGAAGACCAGGAGACTGATCCTGGTCAGCCACTGATCCTGGTCATCCACTGATCATTGGAAGCCACATTGGAAGCTGACAGCCCTGTGTGTTCTCATTTTAAAGATACTGTTTAGATAATAGCATGGGTTGGTGAAGTTTCAGCAAAGAAATAGAGAATGAAGAACTTAGTAGAAATTTTAGCTGAAATTTAAGCATCATTCGATGGGCTCAACAGTAGAATAGAGGAGACAAAGGAAAGAACCGGTAAACTTTAAGATAAAGCAATGAGAAGCAATTGTACATCTATATCCAATGACCAATTTACAGAAAATTCAGAAGAAAGAATGTTAAACTACACTTTAGAGATGCAATTGGCAAAATCCAGACTGAGAAACGCTGCAGGAAAACAACCCAGTTTCTTCATCTAGCAATTTCCCATAAAAAATTGTGCACAAGAGAAACTATACATTAAAGACTTAAAAGACATATTGACATGCCAGAATGTACGGACCTTATTTATATTCTAATTGCAACAAACATGTAAAAATAAACAATTTAGGAGACAGAAACTTGAACACTGAATGGAGGATTGATAAAATTATGTATTTTTAGGTTTAATAATCATTAAGATTAGACTAATATCCTTATATTTTAGAGCTATGTACTAGATGATTACAGATGGAATGATATGTTTGCAATTTTTTTCAAAGTAATTTGGTGTAAAGGAAATAGAAAGAGAAAGATGGGGTAGAATTAGCATGTGCAGATGACTGGTGGGGCTGGTGATGGGTTCATCACTGAATGACAGAAGATAACGGGATAATGCTTTGAAAGTTTGGAGAGCAAATGATTTAGAACCTAGAATTCTGTCCCCATATAAGGTATAATCATATTTTTAAATATAGACTCAGACTACCTTTCAAGTATTTTCTGAGTAAGCTACTTGAGAAAGTACTCCAACAAAGATGAAAACAATATACCTCTTGCCAAAAGAAAAGAGACAAGAAATGGTGAAACCAATCCAGAAGGCCAGTGAAAAGCAATCCAAGGGTGAAAGTTATGCAGCAAACTTGGAAGGCTGTTTGTCCCATTTTGTTTTGTTTTATTTATTTATTTTTTAAAAAAGATTTATTTATTTATGCAAGCACTGGGTACAGTCAGAAGTGCGGGAGGGTGAGAGAATTCACCAGAGCCAGAGCGGGGAGCAGAGCAGGCAGAAGGACAGAAGTACACTGCTGAGGGGAGCAGCGGGCGGCAGGAGAGGTCTGCGCGCCATGTGGGACCCTCCTCAGGTGGCCGGGGAGCAGCCGGGGATCGAACTGGCACTGCAGAGACTGCGGGCAGTTCGCAACCCAGCGCTCAACCGCTGAGCCACCAGGGAGGCTCATGTTTGTCCCATTTTAAACAGAAAGGTAAGAAGTCCTAGGAAATATGTCTTCAGCATTAATATTAATGACACAAGAAGAAGGTGGGGCAATTAGAAATGACAGGGGAAAAACTGTGTAAGGAATGTATGGCCAAAGGTGAAGTAAACCAAAACATGGCATGATTTTAATCTTGGTTCTGAAACAATCAGCTCATGGAACCAACGACAAAATAGGGAAGTCACCTCTACACGCAGAAGAGAATGTGACCCTGCTGTCATTGACACTGTCAAAGTACTGATGTCCAAAGTTGGAGGTGGGAGTGTAGAGAGGTGGAGCAGAAGGTAGGAGTACCAATATCTTCATCTTACTCAGAGGGGATCATGGGTTACGGCTGATAGAAGAGCAACAAAGGTTCAAAGTAATTAAGAGTGCAAATAGAAGACCTGAAAATAATAACTACAAAAATGGAGGCACTAGGAGGGAAGTGTTAGCTCCTTACTCCTCATCTTTCATAATGGGAAGCCTGTAGGAAATTAGTGAATCAAGAAATACTGTGTGTGTGTAATGTATGTATATACACAGTTATACATATATATCATGTAAGAATGTTATGTATCTGGTGGTATTTGTATAGAAAAAAGTTCTAGAAGAGCATTTTGGGTGAAAGAGAGAGACATGGGAGTTTCATTTTTGTCGTTGGTTAGTTTTTTATTAATAATTAAAAATAAAAAACCTCCAAGATATTAGAATTATGTAGCCTCATGATGTATCACAGGAATATGGGTGAGTCCTAAATTCCTGAGGCATAACTACATACAATGAAAGTCTGATAAATGACTTGGGAGTTGCCAGCAGTTAAGTTTCAGTGTGTGAGCTACTCGCTTCCAAAATAAATACCATTTCACTGTTTGGGTGAATCATAAATGGGCAAATATTCTATATCCATGATTTACTTGTCTTTAAGAAATGATTGCTTAGAAAACCTTTAAAGTGTTTTTTTTGGGGGGGGGGCAGGAAAAATCACAGCACTTAGCAATTATTAAAAATTATGGGAACTTTTATTTGTAAAGTTTTGGTTATATTATGTATATATTCAGTTAACTAAAGATGTG